GTTTACACTTTACTTTCTGCATTTAAATTTCTGTTTTGAATGGTTTGTGTAAATTTTGGTTTAATCGTGAATGACTTCTTTGACTAACAATTTTATAAGCAATCATAAGCGTTGCCACATGCATTGAATATGATATTAGAGCTTATTAAGTTCAAATAAGCATACGATAATCATCACATAAAAGTATGGATTACTTTTCTTAACGAGATTGAACTTTCAAGATTCTTCTCCTAAAAATGGTATAAAAAACCAATAATTCATCAAAATAATAATAATAATAATAATAAATTCAAATTCATTATATGGAAAAAACTGAAAATATGGTAAACCATTTCAAAAATATCAAGACCCAGTCGATTTAAATAAAAAGTTCAATCAATTCGTCTCAAATTATTAATTTTTTATTTATTTATTTTTCACTAGTTCAACATATTTGATTGACACTTTACTTTAAAGAATCGATGCTTGAATCGATTTTCAAAACATTTATTACATATGACACATTATTGTTCATGATTGTATAGTAGTCTGATACTTCGCTTTAATAGCATGTTAGGTACAATGTTTTTTGGATTTTGCTGTTTATGCATTCGGAGTTAACATTCTAGATGACAGGCCCTCACGAGAGAGGGGCCATGCGTAATAAAAAAATCACAGGTCCTCCTCTCTTGTGAGGGGATTGTCATTTAGAGTGTCAACTCTGGATGTACATATAACAAAATTCATATTATTTTTTGTGTATGGTTTTGTTCAGTGGTGTGTAGTATAAGTATTTATGTACTTATTTAGATTGCATTGTTTACTATAAACTGTTGAAATCTAGAAGGAAATACCAAAGTGGCAGCGACAGTATAAGATTCCATTAAGCAGGTTAGAGTGGAGGGGGGCAAATTAATTAATTGCTAATAAGTACATTTTTTTTTTTTAATAACTATAAAACATCTTTTGTGCCAAACAGATACAATGTACTTCTAGCCCCTTGGGGCATATTCCAGTGGTGCAAAGGACAAAGGTGATGTATACTTAACCTTGCTAGCAGTTGCAGTGTGAGGGTTCGATTTCTGAAATATGGATTGGGATTCTTTTTCCCTAACCTATTGGGACACATTCCGTAATTAACCTCTCTCACGATGCTTCGGGAATGGAGCGGTGGGGGACTCTTAAAGTTGGGGTTCAACCTTTTTTGTGGTACAATGTACTTTTACCACAGAATTCAGCCTTTTGATTTGGAAAACAGCCAAAGGTTTTTATCATTTAATACTCTCTTAATCATTCTTCTCATGGTCCCATGACCCCCTAAATTGAAACTAAATTGAAATTTTTTTTACATTAAAATGAATATAAAAAAGCTTTAAGCTTATTTGCTGTTCATCATTAATGATGAGTAGAAACGATAGATTGACGATGAACTCTATAATTTATTGTTCAATAAAATTATTATGCATTTTAATATATTGAATAATAAAAAACAAACAACGGTTTATGTGGTACATTAATGTATCAATCATGCTACATAGACATAACAGTTGATATAAATACTTGACATAATACCACATGGTAATCTATCATTGGACCGTCTAAAATATCACCAATTTTTTCAACCGATCACATCTTGATAATACTTATTATGTCAACTATTATATCACCTATTTTCTGACCAAGTATCATTATTCAAAATACATATATATACCTCCAGTGCCCATAAGTAGATATTCATCACTTGATGATGCTCGAACAATAAATCATTACGTTCACTTGTAATGGATGGTAATCACGACAAATGATGCATAGCACTACCAACAAAATCAACCCTATTCAATGAATGATGTTAGAAATTATCTCCAACGGATGTAGCAGACCATGAAATAAATGATATTACCACTTAAGTGCACAAATACGATACACATTTTATTAACCTTATTTATTACCAGATAAGGTGAATGTTACATCTAGTCCATGTTTTGTGAGGATTAAAATCCGATTTTTAATAGATTTTGATAGAAATTGATGAAATGTATAGTTAAAAAGTTGCAGGTTCCGTAAAAAGCGTGGTTCAAATTAGTTATTAATTTTAACTTAAATTAAAATTAAAATTTTAATCTTTATCAAACTTGGCTTAGTATATACAATAAAGCTT